CGGCTGGACCCATACCGGCCGCGTGAACCCCGGCCACGAAGTGCAGCTGACCTTCGCCCTCCGGCAGCGAGGCACGGGGCGCCTCGCCCGGCTCGTCGATGCTGTCTCAGACCCCCACTCGCCACGATACGGTAATGACTGTGCGCCTGAGCCCTGCCAGGCCCCATCAGGCCCTGCAAGCAGGGTGCTCTGTGACCCTCTCTCTGCCTCACAGGCCAGTACCTGTCCCTGGAGCAGGTGCGGGACCTTGTCCAGCCGTCCCCAGCCACACTCGTGTCAGTGCTGAAGTGGCTGCAAGGCCATGGCGTTGAGAACTGCAGGAGCGTTACCACCCTCGATTTCCTGGAATGCCGCATGCCAGCGAGGTGAGCCCTGGGTGGGGCCGGGCCCCGCTGTGGTGGCCGTGCCATTCCCACAAAGACAGGAGAAGCCAGACCCTGCCCCTGCTTGCTGCGGCTTCCCCTTCCCAGGGCTCTGCAGTGCAGGCCAGGTGGTGGAGGGCTGAGTGCATTTCTGCCTGGGCTGTGATGGCTCTGCAGACAAGAGCTGGCTGCCTGTGTGCCTGGTCCTGGTGCTGGGGGGAGGCACAGCCGTTGGATCTGGAGTACTGGAAACAAGGCATGTATATCCGTTAGGTGCTTGGGGCAGCCCCGCACCTCCTCTTGACTTCTGTGGGGCCACAGAGTCCCCACTGGAGGACTGGGGATAGACTTGCAGGGGACTCTGCAGCATCAGAGTTCTGGTCCGGTTTGGTGATGGGAATTGGTCAGGTATAGAAGGTGCTCTTTGCTTTACGAGGTCAGCTGTGCTGGTGGGAAGTGGAGCTCATCCCTGACTCGTCACAGCAGCAAGCAGGGTGGAAAGGGTGCAGGAGGCAGGGCAGAGAATGGGCTTGCTGTTAGACAGGCACACTGACAACTGTTTTGGCAGTGCAAATCCTCGCACGGTGGCTGTCCCTGTGTTGCAGCACGGCCGAGCGCCTCCTGCCAGGGGCTGAGTTCCACCGCTTCGTGAAGGGCCAGCGCAGCATTGTGCGCTCCCCGCTCCCCTACGCTGTCCCCGAGGAGCTGGCTGAGCACGTTGACTTTGGTACGTCCTACATGGGGGGAGCTGAGGCTGCCCAGAGCTTTCACTGCCTGGGGTGCGGGTGGGAGGTTAAGCATTGAGCAGCCAGGACTGGCCATCTCGGTGTCCCAGAGGACAGTGTGGCAGGCCCTCCAGCCATCGTCCTGGGTGACCCTAGGCCCCCCCTGAGGAGCTTTGTGCTTAGGTTGTAGATGCCCCATCCCTGGAAATGTTCAAGGTCAGGCTGGACGGGGCTCTGAGCAACCTGATCTGGTTGAAGATGTCCCTGCCCGTGGCGGGGGGGTGGGGTTGGACTAGATGACTTTTAAAGGTCTTTTCCAGCTCAAACCATTCTGTGATGTGGACAGGCAGCATCCAAAGTGTTTCTTACTGGTGCTCTGGGGCCTGGATGCTCAGTGCGGAGGGTTCAGGTGCAGCCTCTGTGGACGTGCAGCTGCTTCTGAGGTGGAAAAGCTGCCTCCTGTGAGTCCCTTTTGTGTGGGCTCCCATGGCCCTTCCACGAGGAGAGCAGAGGGGTGCCAAGCTGCAGTAGTGGCCTGGCAGTGGGGAGCCTGAGCTGTGCAACCTGGAAATACCTGTGAGGACTGGTGAGGAAGCCCGAGGGAGTACTTCCCCACCTCCTGTGCAGCACTCGGGGCAGGTGCTGCAGGGGATGAGCTCCCCTGAGCCCTGCTGCAGGCCAGCCCTCTCGGACACGAAGCCTGAGCGAGGATGGTGAAGGGGGAGCCGAGGGGCTGTCACACTGTGCTCCAGGAGCTCTGGGCCCTAACAGCTGCTTCTTTTCCTCCTTGCTTGTGCACCAGTGGGTGGTCTGCACCGGTTCCCCGCAGAGAGAAAGGTGGTCAGCAGAGCCTGGGCCAAGAGGGAAGCAGAGTCAAGGCAGCACTATGGAGGGAGAGCAGCTTTCCACCTGGGTGTGACACCTTCCATCGTTCGTAAGAGATACAACATGACGGGAGGAGACATAGGGCTACTGCCAAACAACAGCCAGGCCTGTGCCCAGGTAACTGGTAGAGCCGGTCCAGGTCAGAGGCCCATAGGCTGCGTGAATCCCACACACTGGTGCTTCTCCAGCACTTTGCTGCTCTGGTGGTCCCAGGACAGCTGTGGGGATTCCTCGGCGGCTGGTGAGACCGCCTGGTGGGCTAGCATTTCACAGGTCCGTGCTGGGCCAACTTTCTAAGTCAGGAGAAAAAACTTACCTTGTTTTTTCAAGAGAAAACGAGAAAAAACTTGTCCACTCCTTGTCCCCCCAGTTCTTGGAACAGTATTTCCACCAGGCTGACCTCGCTGAGTTTATGCAGCTCTTTGGCAGCAGCTTTGGCCACCGCTCTCAGGTTGACCAAGTGGTTGGGCACCAGGGCAAGGGCAAGGCTGGGCTGGAGGCCAGTCTGGACGTGGAATACATCATGAGCACGGGTGCCAACATCTCCACGTGGGTCTTCAGCAATGCAGGTAACTGATCCCCCTCCAGACTTGCCCTGTGACTGCTTCCATGCATCCCGCTTGCTGCAGCAACACACACCTGCCAGCTGTTTAGGGAAACGCTTGCTCTCTGCATAAAAATGGCTGTAGCGAGTCTGGTATCTGTCAAAGGGCAACGCCCAGAAGGGCACACGCAAACAGCACGCTGGCTGTGGTACATCCCCAGAAAGCTTTCCCCAGCTACTATGGGCACATACCTTGTGGGCTTCCAAAGTTGGAGCTGAAGCTGGTTTCTAATAGCTCGTGGGGAAATCATCTTCCATTGATTTGTGTAGTTGCTTTTGAACCCGTGTGAACTTTCAGCATGCAGAGTGCCCTGTAACAGGGACTCCCAGGCTTTGACTGCTCCATGTAAAGCAGTCACCCCACTCTGCTGCTTTCCTGTGGAGAGTGTCTTCTTATTTTTTTCCTCCTTCTTTGGGGTTGAAGCTGATCTTTCACCCATGAATCTACCGGTAGGGTGGATAAAGGAGAGTAAGGTAATTTGAGAAAACAAGGTTGCAAAACAGCCTGCACAAACATGGCTGTGGTGCTGTAGGACAAGGTGTCATCTGTCCCAGATCAGAAACTGGCTGGACAGGAGATGGAGTGCCCTTAAGGACTACCAGTTCCCTCTTCCTGATGGTGAAGGCAGGCACAGCTCTGCATTAACTTCCACCTCCTCTGTGCAGTTAGTGGTACGGAAAGGGTGCAGAGACAGGCAGTTACGTGAGCAACTGAGTGAGAAGGGGTGGCTGGGGCTCTGATCTCCTCACCTCGTGGAGAGGGATGAGGGGCAGGACATCAAACTGCTTTGGGACCCCCTGTTACGGGTAGAGGGGCCAAGGCTTGGCCGAGTCTCCGAAGGGCTGCATGGCTGCCTGGATGCCAAGGGTGGCTACAGCCCTGCAACAGATGCTTGGAGAAGAAATGGATGAGTGCAGACCCCCCGCTCTGGGGTTAGGGGCAAACCTTTTACCAGAGCCGCTGGCAGAGCTGCAGCCTGGTGCCGTCCACTATGACAGTCCCCGAGGTCAGCTGTGCTGCCAGGAGGAGCTCATGGGAGAGCTGTGCTGTAGATCTGCTCTCTGTAGGCAGGGCAGGAGCCGGAGGACCTCCAAGCTTCTGGTGCTGGTGGTGCTGTTGAGGCATAGTCCCCCCTCCATGCTATCCCCCGCTTTCCTTCAAGCCTGGTCTCCTAGGAAGAGCTGAACCTGCCCCCCCCCCCCCTCTCTCGGGGGCGGGC